ACGCAATATATTAAAGGAAGTACTGCAATGGCTTTTTAGATCGTCTTCCGGAGGATATCTCGTTATCAACAAAACAAATTACTTGGGAAGCAAAGTGTTACAAGAAGATGTATAATTTCACTAACTGAAAATAAACTGCAACGAAGTTTAAAAATGTATTTTTCACATCGGTTTAAAGAAATTCAAATTCATAAGGCTAGAGTTGTCCCTGTGGTAGTGTGGTGGACTGTGGTCGAATCTTCCACCATGTTGCTGTTCAAAGAATCGTGGAAACAGGGGTTACAAAATTTGTTTGACGAATGTTGTTGGGGTGAAGAGAAGGCATGAAGATCATTTTATCAATTCGATTTGGGTTCTGTACACAGAGGAATGTGTCCTCCTAACGCCGGATTTTTGCGACCCACAACTATATCTTCAATAGCGCTCCCCTGCTAGAATATTTATTCTTATGACTTTGTCTGTCCCCTTCCCCATTTCCAACTTTTTATTTCGCGCATTTACGTCTGTAATTTTTTGTTTAATTCTATGTCATTACAACAATTTATTATTCACGAATAAAATAGATTTAAGGATATCGTATAGGCTGTTCGTTTCATGCAATACCGGTACATGATTGTTCACATGAGGTGGAATAATTTATGATTTTATAACATATCACTTGGGTCTATTTTTTACACCATTTCATTTGACTATGCAAATTAACGCTTGTTTTACACGAGGTAATGTTGAAGATTCGGGGTTTATCCACACGGGGGCCTTTACAATGAAGGGATGACATATATTAAAGTAATTTTGGATTTCCTCATATATTTATATAGAAGACTCTGCCATCTTCACAGTATTGATAAAATGTTAAATCATACAGTGAAAGTAATGGAAATATTTTAACAGTGATTATTCACTGAGTGCTCTTAAGTTAGGTCTACCTATTAACAGGAGTTTGTAGATTTAATTTCTATAGGATATGTCCGTGGAGTTTCTTCACAGAAAAAGTAAGGTTTTGTGTGTGCAAAACAGACAGACAACCGCCCAAAATCTCGTTTCGCGCGCCGCGAAAATGTTGAGGCACTGTTGTATGATCACAAAACTGTGTGACAGTGAAGACGCATTACAGAGGCCGACGACGGCGGAACTGATCTCGTGGATCGACGTAGAGACTTTGCTTCTGCTGTTCTCCATGATGATGATGGTGGCTATCCTTTCAGAGACCGGCATCTTCGACTACATGGCTGTCTACGCTTATAAGGTAAGGACAATATATAGGATGGCTGTCTTCTGGGTTCTAGCGAAGTCTAACCTTGTAGAAGTTTATGTGACAGCCTGTTCTGAGTTCAATTCCCGACAGGCTACCTGAGATGGATACGAACTGGACTTTAGATTGTAAATCCGGTTGTAGGTTATGCAGGCTGGCGATTGGGGACTTGTTTTTGACATTGGTCAGAAAAGAAAATAGCTTGTGGGAAGTAACTGATTTCTTTTTGAGGCCCGGTTCTCTCGCGTCGGCAAGTATCAAGGGGACTTCGGATTCTGCCAAGGTCTGGAGCAGACGTGTAGCTCGTGTGTTACAAATAGTAAAGTTTAGACATTGTAAGATGGTTGCATCGTTCCACACGCAAGTTCCTATCACACGTATATTACTTAAGTAATAGATCTCGTGCGTCTACAACAACAACAACAAGCATCCTATAACAAACTGTGCCGAACCCACCTCAGCTAGTCGGGATGCAAGTGCAAATAGATGTGGGCGGTTACATTTATTAACGTTTCGGAGGTCCTTGGTGCCTCCATCGCCCTGATGATGGAGGCAGTAAGGACCTATGAAACGTTGACAAAGTTCTACCACACTACACTGCCCAATAACCAAGAAAAGAGTGAGGATGGAGGCAGTAAGAACCGCTGAAACTTCGACAAATTTCTACCAGACTACACGGCCCAATAACCCAGACGACCGTGATGATAGAGTCAGTAAGGACCTCTGAAACGTCTACAAATTTCTACCAGACTACACGGACCCAATAACCCAGAAGACAGTGATGATGGAGGCAGTAAAGACCTCCGAAACGTCGGCAAACTTCTTCCAGACTGTACGGCCCAACAACCCAGAAGACAGTGATGATGGAGGCGGTAAGGACCTCCGAAACTTCGGCAAATTTCTACCAGACTACACTGCCCAATAACCCAGAAGACAGTGATGATGGAGGCA